CTGGCAACTCAGCCTGTTATTATAAACACTTTAACAGGGAGGCAGGTTTATAGCATATAAAACAAAACAAAACAAGGGGGCGGGTTTTAGGGTGTACAGCTGATCGAGGAGGCTGACTTGGCTGATGTCGTGGGAGCAGTCTCTGTTGGGGAGCGGTCTTCAGGCTGCACACATCTTGGTGGGGACGGAAAACTATGGTGGACATTTCCTGTCCACATTATCAGTATCCACACGCACATCAAAGGGTGGCTTTGCCTCTCACCTGGGACTGAGGTACTGGTCCTTGACATGACCCTGTCCGTGTCAAATAATACACACTCACACAAGACTTTACCCTCTTCCTACAGCCTGGAACATAGTAGGTGTTCAGGCGGTCTTTGGGGGAGGAGGGGAAGGAGGGAGGGAGCCGAAGATCCTTTGTAGTCAGCCTTTAATGAGTATGGGACTGTTGCTTTGTGTCAGAGTTCAATTCTGCCTTCTAGAGACTTCTATCTGATGCAAGACAGAGACACAGACATAGTGACTCCTAGAGTGACCTGCTCCCCAAGAAGCACCAGGCTAGGGACACGAGAGCTGGCAGCAGCTGTTGACTTGCGTGGGAAGCAGAGAACCCTACTGAGAAACCAAAGAGGAGCAAGAATTAGAGGCACAAGGCAAGGGCAGCTTCTGGGCAGAGGACAGCACTTGCAATGGCACCTTGGGGGTGGGGTGGGGTTGTGTGGGGTTACAGGCACATGATGCGGTGGGGGGTATGGTACAGGAAGGTGCCAGGTAAGGGCCCTGTGGGATGTGCAAATCTAGCCTGGGGCTTCTCTAGACCCTCAGAGGCCTCCTGCTGGTTGAGAGTGAGGGCTGTCCAGGGAGAAGCAACTGTTGCCAGGGGTCTGCCCATCCAGAATTTCCCAAGTGAGCTTACTCTTCTGAGCTGGTATCTCTGTATCTCAGTCTCTGAGTCTGGGGTATAGGCCCAGTCCAGTCCAGCCAATGTAGCTTTGGGATCTTGGAGTAGTCACACCTATCCTGAGGCAGGATTTCCCCTCAGACAGGCAGCTGGAGTCATGGGGCTTTGCCTGGGGCTGGGGCAGCTGGAGCAGAGGCAGGGCAGCAGTTGGTAGAACCGTCTTTTCACCCCAGGAGACTATGGGATGAAGTCTTTCTGCTGGGCTTGGTTCAGGATCAGGGTGAGGTCCTTTTCCACGGTTTGTCATTGACACTCCTGGTGACCTCAGTAAATCTTCTGCCTCCCCCAGGTTTTGCTCCTCTTGTCCGTAAGACAATCACAGCTGTCCCTTCCTGGTCTTCAGAGATGGGATACTTTCTCAATTCCTGCTGGGCTCCAGGGGCATAGAAGACAGCCCTGTCTAGTGAGGACCAGAGCCACAGACGAATCCACCATCTGTGTCCACTCCAAACGAAATGATAATGCAACCTCCACTAAGAGCTTCTCGCGCCAGACCTCGTGCCCCGACTGAATGCCTTCAATGCTTTTCTCACTGAGTGTGTGTGCCAGGTGATAGCTCGCACTCCCATTGTGTGGAGAAGGAGAAGACTGAGGCTCGAGTAATCAGACATTTCTCCAAAATCCACACAGTTGGCACAATGGCTCCTGATTTTAGTGTGGATGGAAGTCACCCACGGACTCCGCTGTCCCTTGTTTGTGCATCTGTTGCCCCTGTGGCCAGGTTTGGAGTCTACAGTATTTCAGGTCCATCGCCCCTGACTCTAACTGTGCATTTTCTAAGTAAGGGGAGGCAGAGCAGGGTTTTCCGTTAGCCACCTGACTGTGGGGGCTGACTTGGGGTCAGAGGCCTTACCCCTGGGGTCTCAAGATTTTCTCCGGAAGATTCTGAGCCTTACGGTCAATTTTTGGATGCACAGTCCTCTAAGTGAGGAGACCCCTGCTCAGCATCCTCGGATTGCTCATTTCTGCCAGTTAGCTTGGCAGGGAGCCCAGACCCCAGGCTGTAGTGCTGGCTGTTGCTGGATGGGTTGTGTGTTCTTGCAAAGGTCTCTACCCTTTGGGGTTCATTTGCTTGTTTGTTTTTGAGACAAGGACTCATGAATCTCTGGCTGTAAACTTGATGTGTAGATAGATAGCCAAGGATGGCCTTGAATTCGTGATCTTCCTGCCTCCACTTCTGGAATGCTGGGAAGGTAAGGTATACCACCACCCGGCTTTATGTGGTGCAGGGTTGTGCATGCTAAGCAAACACTCCACCAGCTGAGGTGCACCTTCCACAAGTCCTCTCTGTGAGATGGCAGGTTCCAGATTTGCAGACATGCAACGTATAATATGAAGTAATTGTGGATGAATCAAACCCTGTCTTGGTTGGGTCTGGAAGGCTGGATGTGGTTCCAAGTGGTCTCCCCCCCCCCCACCCCTCCCAAGGCCCCTCCTAGATCTTGCGGCTGCTCGTACGGCTCCACCCTGTATGGAAGATCATTTAGGCTAGCAGACAATGATGTAAGCGGGAGGGACCCAGAAGGGCTGAGGTCACTGTGGCTGGCTGCCCAAGCGCGTGTGATGGAGGGTGTCCTTGGATCATTCCCACCCTCTAACCAGCCTCGGCCTTCCATCCTGTAAAACAGTGATAACAACAGTGCCTACCTTCAGAGGGTTGTTAATGGTGAGGATAAAATACGGACCGACGGGAAGCGTGTTCGAAACACACGTGGCACCGAGCCTGGGACGTAGTCAGCACTCAGAGAGAACAGCTTGGCAAGACGATGATGGTGGTGGAGACGGCAAGGAAAGGGAGAAGGATGATGTCAACCACAACGCTGTCTGGCTCCACCCGTGGGCTTATTCCTGGGTGCCTTTCTCTAAGACATCCCACCTTACTACAAACACATCCAGAGACACCAAGTAGCCAGGGCCTGCCCTGTGAGTTGGGAAGAAGCCAGGTGCTGGCCCTCACGGACAGACCAGTGCCCCGTGGCTGTGTCCTGAGCATGCGGCAGCCTCAGCTTTGAAAGAATTAGCGGAAGTCTTCCCAGGGGAGGCAGGATTGACGGAAGAGTGGGAGCTGGCTGATAGAGGAGGAGAGGATTTCTCTTTCCCAGTTAGAGGCATCCCTGAGATGAAATAACAGGAGCAGAGGCAGGGAGGTGTGAAAAGGCCCTGCCGAGCCTGGGAAGCTGTGAGAGGCACAGCGCACGGTTAGACAGTTGGGAGCAAGTGGCAAACAAGGCTGTGAGGAAGGAGGGGAGGATGTTTGGGGCAGATCTCACAGAGCCTGGGGTACTAAACCAGCCTGACCTAACCTGAAGGCCAAGCCGTTTTGTACATCACACGATAGACTTTCCAAGCTTCTACTCAACCCCCGGCATTTTCATCGTGGTGGTTGCCATGAGTGCAGCCCAGACGCCTCTGCATCCCCAGGCTGGATCCTTCCTTCTTCGGTTGCTGGGATTTCCAGTGGTTGACTCCCCTTCCTGCGGTTACCTCCCTTTCTTGTGTCCGGTAACTGGTTCATAAGAGGTATGGGGGTCTTGGACTCTTCCCTCAATTTGAGACAGTTGTGAGAAGTCATTTAGAGGCTGGGGAGATGGTTCAGTATGAAAAGTCCTTGCTGTGCAAGCCTGAAAACACCTGGGTGTGGACCCCCAGCCATTGTGTAAGATTCAGGTACAGAGGCACGCCGTGTGTGATCCCAGCGCTGAGGAGTGAAGACAGGAGGGTCGGAACTTCTGGTCATTCAGCTCATTCAAATGAACTAACTCTGTGTCTGGTGAAAGACCTGGTCTCCGGAAATAAAGTAGGTCAGTGTGATGGTTTAGTGGTGAGGTGGGGCTTGCTGCCAAGACTGACAGCCTGAATTCGATCCCAGGACCCAGATGGTGAAGAGGGAGAAGGGACACCCACAAGCTGTCCTCTGATGTCCACATGAGAGACATGGTAGAGCTTTTAAGCACACATACGCGCACACACACGTGCACACACGCACACACACACGTGCACACGCACACACACAAATGAAAACAAACTTAAATGGGGAACAATTGAAGAAGACACCCAACGTTGACCTCTGATCTCCACAAACAACATGTGCACCGGCACACACTCATGCATGCACTCATGGGAACACATGTATCTTAACACACACACACCCCTGTGCACACATAGCCCTTTCCAGCTCCGGACCTTCAGGAGAGGCAGGCAAAGGCCTTTGAGGGGTTTGCTTCGAAGTCCAATCTGTCCCTCCGCCTGGTCCTATTTTATCTGCCCCTCACAGAGACCAATTATGAGAGAACTCCCCCAAAGTGCATTCTGCCAGCGAATCTTCCTCTTGGTCTCCCTCCCCATGAGCCCCACCTGCAGCAACCAGCACACAGGGAGGGTTATGAGGGGTGACATCTCATCAAGGGATGATGAGGGACTGTGCTTTATGAGGGCATCTCTGTCCAGAGCGGGAGAATGAACCGGAAGGACACATTGGAATCTGGAAGTCAGAGAAGACATAGCTGTTGCAGTTTAGCTGACGTGGGCGTGAGGTGGTGGAAGCAGCAAGAGGGGCCATCTGAAGGAACCTAGAGAACGGGGGAGACTGATTGGGGAAAGGATTCAGAACCCTGGAACATAGGGGCAGAGGTGGCACCAGTGCCTGGGAGGACAGGAAAGATTTAACAAGAGAGACGGTTCAGTAAACACATGGGCTACCAGACCTCCGGGTGGAGGGGCCCTGGAGGAGTTTCAGAGGCTGGGACCTGGGCTGGAGAGGTGGGGTAACAGCAACTAGGTTGGGTGCAGGGACACTCGCTCTGTGGGTAGCAGCTTCTTACAAAGCAGTGAGCAGTATCCTCAAGGTACTGCAAGCCCCGCCCCTCCCTCTGAAATCCTCCCGAGAACCCGCCAGACAGATACTTCTATCCTTGTCACAAAGAGGAAGCCAGGGCTCAGTGAGGCTCCTGCGTTGGCAGGAACCGGGCAACTCCCAACAGCAGAGCTGGAGTTGAATCCAGGCTCATCTGGCACACGCCTGTAATTACAGGAGGGGAGATCGGAACCCAGAATGCTTGGCTCTTTAATCAGAGCCCTTTCTCCTTGCTCAAGTGGCCGCTTCCTGCGGTGGATTCCAGAACTTTTGATCACGAGCCAACTTCTTCCAAGAAACGGAGCTGAGAGTGACCGATTTGTGGGGATTTGAGGTGGGGTGTGGAATTATTTTAGCAAGAATTTCCAGGCCTGGGAATCCCCCAACTCCTGGTCTAGAGCCCTGACACATATGGGAAGATCTCTATAGCAGAGGCAGCAGTAGTCTCTCCAGTGGATGTCACCTCCCCAGCCTCAGGGGCATGGGGCCCCTAAACCTTCCTTGCTTGGTTGGGTCCATCACCTCCAACCTGTGCACGCCCATGGGAAAACAGGCTCTCTTGAAGCATCTTTTCCCAAAGTACTTCCATAGAGCCTGGCTGTTTCGTTGAACTGGGAATGACCGTAGCCTCCCTTCTCCATGGTTTTGTGTTCCAGGGCTTCTGTGACCCGCTGTCCACCATGATCCAAATAAATTAAATAGAAGCAAGTTCTGGCAGAAGCCTCCTGCAATCCCAGCCCTGGGGAGGCAAGGACAGGAGGACGAGGAATTCCAACTGCACAGTGAGACCTTGTCTCAAAAAAACAAAACCAATAGTTTCAAATGGAAAAATTCCAGAAGTGGTTTCTGACCTTTACGTCACACGCAGTTGTGAGCAGCATTGTGCTCTGTGTCTCGCCCAGGAAGCGAGCCATCTTTGTACATCATACACCCTGCACATACTGCCTGCCCACTGCTCCTCAAGCAGACACCATAGTTAAATCCTCCCCGTGGAAAGGTCAGACAAACACCTCAGGGAGTGACAGAAAGCATAGGGTGTCCATGGTTTGCTCTTCTCAGCCTGGAGTGGCCCCAGCCTTGCTCGCTCATACACAGGTTCAGAGAGAGTCACAGCAAGAAGACAGTTGAGTTCAAGCCTCCGCATCACAGAAATGGACAGAGTGGGATCCAGAGAGGGCAAGGACCTGCCCAAGGCCACCCAGTGCTCTGGTGTACAGCCTGTTCCAGCCTGAGTGTCCCAACCGGCAGCTCAGTGCCTTTCCATGTCCCAAATCGATGTGAGTTGTGGCGTAGGGCCAGAGGGTTAAAGGAATTTGGAAACTGACTTGAGTTCAAGGTCTGGCTCCGCCCTGGGCTTGCCTGGAGATCCTGGCAAGTCGCCAGTCCCTCAGCCTCAATTTCCTCGGCTTTGAAATCAAAATAATGACTCCTTCCTTAGGCTCGTGTGAATGTAGAGAGAAGAGCGTTGTGGGAGACACACAGCGGGCCTGAGCAGGTCCAATTAACGATCGTTTTCATTAATACCGACACAATCAACACCCGCTGAGCAAGCTCAGACACAGCGCTGACTCCAGTCCCATCCAGAGCACTGGAAACTTCAGGCACAGCACCCACAGGAAGGCTCCACACATGACGGATGCTCACTAAAGCTTGGCGTCTCCACTCTGCCTGCAGTCCCTTCTGCTTCCATGGGTCGCTTCAGGGGGCCTGCCTCTTTCCTGGTAACAACAACCCAGTAGACGAAAAAAGACAAAATTGTGATTGGGAGAGGAAAAAGTATGGAGCCAGCTTCCAAATCATCTTCTCATGGAAGTTTGAAACAAAGCCGCTTGTGTTTTAAAACCTGGCATAGCTCGAACCTCTCTGATCACACCCAAGACTTTTACAGGCCCTAGGGAAGGACCCAGGACCTGAAGGTGATCTCTTCCTCTAATCTCCCTGGCCAGCACTGTAGAAGAAAGTTTCTGTCCCACCAGGTCTCACAGCCATTCAGTCCCAAATAAACACATAGAGGCTTATATTAATTATAAACTGTTTGGCCTGTTGTTCAGGCTTATTACTATTTCTTACAACTTAAATTAACCCTAAATTCTTCTTTAGCCATGTGGCTTGGTACCTTTTCTCGGTGAAGCATTCTCATCCTGCTTCCCCTGCTTCTGGGTGACTGCGTCTCTGCCTTTTCCTCTTCCCAGAATTCTCCTAGTCACCCCACCTACACTTCCTGCCTGGCTACTAGCCAGTCAGCATTTTATTAAACCAATATGAGTGACAAATCTTTATAGTGTACAAGAGTATTATACCACAACTTTTCCCTTTTTCTTTTCAAAACAAGAACTCTGAATCTAATCTCCTTTGTTTACCTTTTTCCCTAACCATTATCCATAATAACTTATAACCCAATACTCTAAATAAAGGCAAACATCCATAATCCATTTTGGGGGAATGTGGGCATAGTTTTCTAGGCTATTTCCTGCTGACTGGGGGTGCTGATAATCTTATGGGGACCCAAAGAAAATGTAGGATTATGGTCAAGTCCTGACTGGAGTCTTCTGTGAGGCTGGATCATCTCAGCCAGCAGTCTTGAGATTTAGATGCTTTCGGAGTCCTGAGAGGCCTTCAAAGCTGCTGCCTCCTGTGTGCCCTGACAGAGCAGATGTCAGAGGAGATAGGAGCCATCCAAGCAGCCAAAAAAGAAACGAAAAATCCATCTGCTGAATTCACCAACTAGCCAACAAACCTTGAGATACATACAGCTTTGGGGACAGGAGACTAGTCTTGCTGATGAAGGGCTCTGCATGGGACCCACCTGGGACTGGGTAACCTCATGAGGAAACAAAGCCCCAGTCTCAGAGGCTAAGTCACACACAGTCTTTGGATTTCAGAGTCCTGAGGTATGGGGGCAGGGTGTGGGCATTATCAGAGGCCTGGCTTCAGTTCCAGCTTAACAGGGTCCCCTCAAGGAGCTGGACCTCCCTCTGGGCCTCAAATCCTTGCACAGAGGGGCTAGGACATGGAATTCTAAGACTGTACACGTTCCAGGAGAAAACCACAGCAGGGTGTGTCCCCTGTCCCTGTGTCCTCCCTCAGAGCGGTAACCTGCCCCTGCATGAACGCCTCCCCAGCTTCTTACATCCTCCAGGACCTCAAGTTCCTTTCCTGCTTCCTTGCCCTTAATTATCCCGTTCCCTTCCACCCTGACTTAATTACTGCATCGGAGCCCATTTGAGCTCGTTACCTCTGGCTGCTCAGACTTGCTGTGAGGTTAACGATGCCGGCAGTGCCAGGGTTCCAAGAAGAGTGGGGCCTCTGGGAGCCCACTGGGAGGCTGAGAGTTCTGCCCTTGTAATACATGTCCCCTGCACTTTGTGTGTCTGGCACTGTGGATGCTTGATGCTCACACAACTGGGATGGGACTAGGTGGGGATGGGGGTTTAGACTCTTCCTTCTAGCTCAAGTAGGGCTTGTTTGTTTAGGTTAGTTAGCTTTTCTTTTCCAATTTTTCATTTCATTACAATTTTTAGTTATGTACCAAACGATGGGTTCTGTTACTACATCTTTATACACATATAACATTATTGTACCAAATGATGGATTCTATTATTACATTTTTACACATATATAACATTAGTTATTGTACCAAACAATGGGTTCTAGCAGGACATTCTTACACATAGAGCATTGTGCTTGGCTTGTATTCATCCCCTCACAGCCCTTTCTCCCATTCTCCTTCCACCCATTCTTGCTTTTTTCCCTTCTGCCCAAACTGAACCCCTTTATTTTTATGTCATGTATATTTATATTCTGTGTGTAAGAGGTGTAATATTTTATCAGTCTTTCCCCGTTAGTTTCCCTCTACCACTAGGCTTTTAAAGTCATTTCTTGCACGATAACATCTATCAGTACATCTGTATGTCAGTTTTCATGGTCTGTGTGAGCCCCTGATATTCAATGCCCAGGTCCTTCATGACTGGGTTTGCCAGTTGGAAATGTGGGCTCAGCAGATGCCTGGGGAGAGGCTGGCAGTAAAGCCCCCCCTCCATGGGATGTCCCCATGGAGACAGTCACCCCAGGCAATCTCCTGGCATAGTACTTCTGCCTCCCTCCATACCGTAGATGCCCCAGGCAGAAGGGCGACCCAACACAGAGCCTGGCCAGCCAACCACAGACTTAGACACTGAGCATGCACTTCTGTGCCTAGCCCTGATACAGGCCAGTCCTCTGCTTCTGGGGCAAATACACAGTGTATTTAAAATTCTAGTAGTGTCAGATGGGCTCCAAAAAAATGCTGTACCAACATATATGGCCAGCAACTCTATTTTCTTTTAAAATATGTATTATTTTTAATTATGTGTCTACATATGGATATGTGAACATGAGTGTGGGCGCCCGTGGAGACTAAGTCACAGGTGGTTGTGAGCCACCCTACCTATGTGAGTTCTGGAAACGAAGCAGAGCAGAGGATTCTCAACGGGAGTCACCTTTCCAGCCCCCGCGTGAACTATAACTCTTATCAACACTGGATGTCGCTATGGGTTACTTGTGGTTTGGCCCTCAGCAGTTCATGAAAACTTAGTCGCTAATGTGATAATGTTGAGAAGTGGCATGGGCCTCTAAGAGACAGGTGCTAGGCAGGGATGTCCTTGGCCATTGAGGGCTGTGTTTGGAAAGAATTGTAGGCATTTCTCTGGACTCAGGACCCTTCTCTCTGGCTTCTTTTTAATTATGTGATTACTTTCTCCCATCCTTGCAGCCATTGCGACGTCACCTAGACCCTTGAGTCCCCAGAAGTGTATTATAAAAAGCCTCAGGTGTTTCTACAGTCAAGAATACAGGCGTTGTCAATAGTTCATCAGTCTTATGGATGAAAACTGATCTCAAGCAATGCCATTTCAGACTTGCATCCACAGACAAGCAGCAAGGAGGACATGGTCGCACGCATGAATCCTTGCTGTCCCCTCCGTGACATTCCTATTGAGTGCTTTGCCCAGCTTTCTGATTTGGCTTGCTAGTTTTGTGGGTTCTCTGTCTCCCTCCCTTCCTCCCTCCTTTAAGATACCCCTGATTCCTGGGCCTCACCAGTCTGGCAAAATGCGGCTCTCAGTTTCCCTAAGTCCTCTACCTGCCCTAGAAACCTGAATTCCACCTTCACACCACCCCCACAGGTCTGCTCCAGGAAGGTCAGTGAGCTTGTGGTAGATGTTACCATTTCCTAACAATGCTTTGTTGAGGTAGTGGGGTCCTGGGAGGGTATTGCAGATTGGACGGCAAGTGGAGATATTATGACTCATGGCTAAGGTCATCTGGGCTTTTTCCAGCCTAAAGCCGTCCCACCTCCACCCTACCTAGGCAGCCTGGCCCCCTCCTGTCTCTAAAACAGCTCCGATGTCCTGGCCAGGAGCAATTTCCTTTATGAGGCTGCCTTTAATTTCCCCAGAGGGCTGCTTGCCTTGGTCACCTTCATCTCAGAGTCTGTTGGGCCGTTAGACATCTGAGAGGGGTTAGATTCCAGGACACAGGGGTGTAAGAGACCCAAGCAAGAGGTGTCAAGACAGAAGTAAGAACGGACCGAGGTGGGAACTGACTGGAACGATTCAGCCCTGATGGATTCTGGGATCGGCCTTGCCGGCGTGTGGAGGGGGTAGTGGTGGGGTCTTAGACAAACTGCTTCCTGAGCCTCGTCTGTTTCCTCTCCTGAAGACAGAATAGAGTTCCCACTGTGCAGTGTAGTAAGACGGGAAGGTTATGTCACAGAGGAAATGTCCAACATGGAAGGCTCGCGGTAAGTTTTACTTGAGGCAGAATTGGAAAACGCTAGACAAAGGAATAAGCTAGGAGTCGGGGAGCGGGGTTTAAACCCCATCCTTGCCTCCTGCGATTGCCGCCGGGAGGACGTCCGGAAGAAAAACTAAGTGAAAAGAGGAGAAGACGAATTGTAACCAAAGGCAGTGGGTTCACATCTTCGTGAACACAACACTAAAACCCACAACCGGGACATAAGGTGGAGAAAGATGCACCGCAGCAAACTGGGGGAGCACTGGGGTTATTTGTGAAGCGGTGCATTCTGGGAACAAAGGAAGCATGGGGGTTTAGTGGGAAGCCTGTACGTATTAGTGTAGGAAAAACCTGTGGAGGCAGGCACATCTCTAAGCACCATCAGTTCAAAGGGCAGGGAGCGCATGTTCAGAAAGAAAAGATAGCGCCCCATGAACACTTCTGGGCATGCGCACTCCGTTCAGGATAGCAGCGAGCCAAGTTGACTCTAGACTGCCTAAAAGAATGAATCAGAATGACTCTGTGACCGTGGCTGGTTTCTGGTGAATTTCTCCGAAGACTTTCAGCTAAACGCAAAAGGGAAGAATGAATATCTTTGAAGAAACTTTAACACTCTTCCAAAGGGATAGGAGTTAGACTGTAAGGGTACCTGCCTCGTGCAGCCATTAAATGATTGAATCTCAGTCGCTGATCAGCTGTGGCCTTGTGTAGACCACAGGTCCTCGGGAAAGCCGAGATGGAACATGGATGTACATGGCAGTTTGCAGGAGAATGAAATTAAATGAGAAACCTCAAAGTGTGTGATCTGTGCTCAATAAACACTAGTCCGTGTATAAACTACAAGTTCCATAGTACAAGGCTTGAAATGCAAAATTCATCATATAAGGGACGAAACGCGATACAAAATGGTCGGACGGTGGCCCCATTTAGACCTGCACTGCCAAGGATTTTGGGAAAAGGGCCCAGCCTGTCCACAGTGGCCCTTAGGTCCACAGCAGTTGAGAGAAGGTGCCTGGAGATTATTCTTGCAGGTTTTTGATCAAGTGCCCAGAGAGCTCCTGAGGGGCCAGCCGCCCAGCCCCAGGGGAACTATGATTGGAGCAGGCATAAGGAGGCTAAGGTCAGAGGGACTGTTCGATGAGAATGTAGGCCCAGGGGTTCAGCTGTTTCCATGACTACGGCTTTATTCTTTTCTTGTGGTCTTGATCTGGGCACCAGGCTCCTGTCCGGCCTTGCAGGGGCCAAGATCACATACTAGGCAGACAAGCCGATTCCTGATTCTGGCTGCCCTCAGACGTACCACACGTCACATGTCTGTGCCTCAGCTCCTGCTGTTCCTAACGCCAGGGTCATCGCAGTTTGGCCTTCTCTTCCTACTGATAGCCTACCTACCCTCAACTCTACCGTGAACCCTAAGATCTGGTCGGGGTGACTCATTACTGCCTCTGGGTTACCTGACCAGTGAGCCTCAGCTCACTTGCTTCACAAATAGAACTGTTTGTCCCCACCTGTGAGCCTTACAGCCATTAGGGAGATGATTCACACGAGATTATGACACTGGCCCATAAACCCTGACACTTTCTCCAGTGGAAACGAGTCTTGCTTTCTGCCTTATGTGAGTTGGCATATACCCTTCCTCAGAATGAGAAGTCCTTCGTACTCCTGATGCAATCACTTAAATGCTTAGTGATCATCTATAAGACACAAGCTCTGTCTACAGGCTTGGGTGACGTCAGGGAACAGAAGTCACAGGCCTCATGCCTTCTGGTCGAGAGGACAGACAACCATCAGCGATGGACTTCAGAAGGTGACAGGGCTCTGGATGGAAATTGATGCTGGAAGCGTGGTGGGGAGTGGGTGGCAGTCATCGTGGGCCACCACAGGCTGGAAGGAGAGGAGGGCGTTTTTCCAGACAGAGGTGGGGGGGGGGGTGTTCTCGGTCAAGGGCAGCAGGGCAAAGGCCCTGAGGTGGAGCCTACCTGGCTTGTTAAGGTGGAGCTGGCAACAGAGGAGTCCAGGTGTGATGGATGAGGGCACGATGCAGGAGACGCCTTAAAGGCCATGGGGAGGACTTTGGTTTTCCCACGACTCTGGAGCCTCGAGAAGCTGTGAACACAGAAGTTACTCTGTTCATCACTGTTTTAACAGGACCACCCCCACTTGGCTTTTTCATGGGCCCCAGGCCCAGCTTCCCCTTGTCGCCTTGCCTCACTTGCCTCTGAAAAAAGTAGATTAATACTATGCACCTCCCAGATCCTTGGCAGAAATTCCTGTCTGCTTCTAGACCTAAGAATAGCACTCCTTCTGAGCAGTTGGTCGGCTTTGCTCATGAGCACAGCGTGGCTCATGCTTCCTGGCTTCCCTGGAGCCCAGAGTGCAATGCTCGGCTCACAGCAAGCGTGGCCATCTTCACACAGCTCTGACGTGGCTTCTGGACTTGGCTCTTTCACACCGACTTTAAAAATACATTTTAAATGTTATCTCCTTTAAATAACGCCTTGCAAATCACGTTTTCCCTCAATTACAGAAATAAGACCGTCACTGTTAGATATTTTGGAAAACATACAGGAAAAGGACCGTGAATGAGAATATGTGTAACTCAAAGATAGTACTTCAATCTTTCTGTAGTCTTTCTCGTCATTGTGCGTGTGTGCACGTATGAGTGTATGTGTGTGTGGAGTGTGTAGCCAGAAGAAAATGAAGTTATTAAACATTTTCCACTCTTCCCCCAGTCCCCTTAGCCTTAAGCCCTTGGTTTTATCCAGCTGTTGGGCATGATACCCCCATGCTAGGGCAGGTCTCATGCAGTGTGGCTGGACCCACTCGGCCTTTGTGGTTGGAGGGTCAGCCACTCATTCAGAAGGCCTGATGAAGGGTCAAGCCCTCCCATTCCAAAGCAGACAGCATTCTGAGGGAGGGAGAGCTGGAAGAAAGGTGAGTGGGCTGACTGGGTACACCTCACCCGACTTTGTCCCAGAAAGAGAGATGTGGGAAGCAGCTTCCAGAAGCAAAAGGCTGCCGTGGGCTCTGAGAGCTGGCTGTGCAGAGGCTCAGGCTGGAAAAGCAGAGGCAACTGAGGAGACAGACCAAGAGAGCCTCATAAATGTCCCTTGCCCTGGGAAGGTTCAGGACAGCTGAGAGAGGATCTGGGTCCCTGGAGTGTGGACGCAAAAAAAAAAAAGCAACCTGCAGGCTGCATGCTGAGCAGCTGAATCCGACTCCTGAGGCCAAGTGTCCTTTCATCATTCTGGGGGCCTGGAGCTTGAAGTTGGTGTCAGAAACTGAACCAGTGTGTTGGCAGGCTGCATGCCTCTGGAGTCTCTGGGACAGGCGTTTCCCTTCCTCTGCCAGCTGCTGGTGGCTGTCAGTCCTCCGTGAGGGGCTGCCCTTTCCCCGTGCCTTCTGCACACATCTCTGTGTGTCTGTCCATCTCTCACGATAGGCCCCTCCCTTGAAGAGCATCGTCTCCAGCTCTTTGGCCACATAAGGTCACGGTTGCTTCCAGGGCTTTGCCACTGGAGGTATCTGTGGGTAAAGACATCACTAGCCGAGAACGCTGCTTGGAATCAATAAACCTGACTGGAGACAAGGGTTAGCAGAGAGCAGTGGAAGCTGGGTAACCAGGGCTCAGACGAGATCGTGAGATGCCTGTCTGAGGGCGTGCCACTGCAGACAGGTGACATCTGAGGATTTTCCTATCGAAATAAGAAAAAAGGAGATGGGGACAGGGACCTAGGAAAGATTAAAGGTGAATTTCTACCTTGTAGAATGGGAGCTTATCCTAGAAATCAAACTGAATTAGAAAGATGAAGTTGGCAGTGTGATCTAAAATTGTAACCCATTTTTTCATACATGTGAACATAAGTAGGTATATAATCCTTAACCGCCAAATGAGTTTTTATTAGTAAGTATTAACTTGTAGGCTAAGCATTCTAACCCAATAAAGACCTTTAAACAATTTTCCATGTTGTCATATGTCCTTGATTGTGACCACCTTTGATAGCCCACTGATACTTGAGTATATAATCCTTACATACCACACTGTCTTGTAGGTTTGTGAAATCTTAGCTGGGCCACAACACCTGAAATCCCAGGACTCAGGAGGCCGAGACAGGAGGTTTTCAAAAGTTGAAGCCAACCTGGGCACGTAGTGAGTTCCAGGCCATCCTAGGCTATAGAATGATATCCTTTCTCAAAAGATGAGAGAGAGAGAGAGAGAGAGAGAGAGAGAGAGAGAGAGAAAGAGAGGAGAGCCCCCTTATAAGCCACACTGAATCCTGCTTTTCTTTTTTGACAAATGAGAAATCAACATATTTATTGAGTTGCTATGAGGTTGCTATGAGGATTAACTATAATTCTGTATATGTAAATTTTAGAACTGAATTTTTAAAAATTCAATCCAAGTTGAATTTTAAAAATTGGATTTAAAATCCATTAAAATTGAAATTTGTCAAAAAAAATCATTCTCTCTCATTGCTGGGAAGGCGCTGTCTAAATTGGAAACCCTCCTTCTCCCACCACCCTGTGTGTCTAAACATTGCCACCTCCCTCTCCTTGTACTGGGGACCTTCTCAGGGTCAACCAGTTCTGCCCACTCTCGTGGCTTTTTCCTGATTCAAGTTCTGCCATCCCTCCTCTCTCTCAGCCTCCCCTGGCTATCTGCCTTTGGGTTGCCCCCAAAAGCAGATCCTGAGATGATTGAGGTCGTATGGTTTATTTGGAGGGTGCGTGATCACAGAAATAAGCAAAGATCGGAGAGAGTGGGGAAAAAGGCAATAAGGTAGGGAGGGGATGAGCTCTGGTTGCCGGGGACCCTGAGGTCCTCGTAGGTGGCGTAGGCGTCTGTGAAAGCCCCCCTCTCTCTCTTCAAGGCTCCAGAGGCAGGAGGTGGGAATCAGTCAGCTGTTTCCTGAAACTGGGAGGGGTCTTTCCGGCTCCCCAGTGGGTATCACAGCATCTGCCGGCTTATGTCTCCTACCTCAGCCTCCCTCTCTAGAAGATGGCTTCCTGAGGCTGTGGGTGCAAGGCTGTGCTGTGTGAGCATGGGACAGTGGCTCAACCTTGCTGATGCTTAGCCTTTAATACAGTTCCTAATGCTGCAGTGACCCCCAATCATAAAACTATTTTCGCTGTTACTGCATAACTGGAATTTTGCCATTGTTATAAATTACAGTGTAAATCAGGTGATACGCCACCCGTGAGAAAGGGGTGTCTGACCCCGAGGTTGAGAACCCCTGGTGTAGAGGACCAGGGAGGGGGCAGAGGGGACAGACACAATAGGACCGCAGGTTGGGCTGCTTCTTGTCCACATTCACTACAAAACTGAACAGAGTGGATCTGGATTGAGCTATAGATGAGGATGAGTGAATGTCGGCCCTTCCTTGGGTCCGACTGGATTGGAAATCAGGCGTTCTTGGCTTCAGGTTGCGGGGGTGGGGGTGGGGGAGGGCGATGAACCATTTGAGATTTCACGTTGTTCATGACTGATCCCCCCCCCCCCACACACACAGCACAGAGTCTGCCCTATGCCTCAGAAGAAGTCACGAAAGGGTTAAATATGTATTCCAGACTGTGTGGATGCCACTTCTTACCTTATAAACTCCCTGCAGATGGGGAGGAGGAAGCCTGCCCCCATTGGAAGACTGCCAGCGTCAATGGCTAAAGGGACGCTCGTGTCTGTCTGAGGTCTGCTGAGGGACCAGCTGTCTGGATGTCAGTGATGGTCCCCAGCAGCTCTGAGACATGGCACCTACAGGGAACTTCCAAAGAAGCTTGGGGACCGAATCCCAAGGGTGGCTGTAAACAGGCCCTATGGCCTGCAGCAGAACAGGTCCTTCTGGGTCCTCTCGGAAGGACAGATTTTGTTATATACTGATTAAATATCGAACCCAGCAGCTACTACGTCCCTACTGCAAGCCAGCCAAGAGCTTGGGTCTGGAGTGCACAGATGGTTCCCACATGGTTTTCACTGACAGAGACGCTGATGATCAAGACAGGATGTCATTTCGATGCCGGAATGATGGTGGCCACCATGAAGAAGACGGCTGTAGAAGATGCCAGGATCGCTTTTGAAGGAATCAGATAATAAAGCCATTGGCATGGAATAGGAGGGGCATCCCAGAGCTAAAGGAAGAAAGACAAACAACGCCAGAATTTACATGCTGCTTGGAATGGCATCAGGCTCACACACGATGACTGTTTAATGATATCCTGTCAGATGAGAGATGTTTTCATTAGCTGTTCTCAAGAAGAAACCCAGGACATGTTAGAAGCAGCAAAGAAAGTTTGCAAGAAGAAATGGATGCCGTCGAAACCAGCTTGGCATCCATTCAAATCTACTTCAAATGGCATGGAAAGGAAACTCATATTTGGGCTGGCATGATGGCTCAGTGGGCTAAGAGCGCTTGACACTTTCCTAGAGGATATCTATCAGCTTGGTTCCTAGTGCTCACAGGAACCTGTCATTCCAACTCCAAGGGATCTGGCGCCCTCTTCTGGCCTCCTCAGTACCTGCATCCACATGCACACATAATGCCTACTTTAAAAACGAATCTTTAAAGTCTTTCACTTATTTGATGGAAACTTGCCTGTTTTCACATTTTGATTATTTTTATATTTTTTGAAGAAGACAATATTCATATATGTATTTTGCATGATGATTAAGCCAAATTTAGGGGCTTTGTGTTATGTTATAAATAAAAAAGCAAACAAATAAATGAATAGTCTCATGTACCAGGATGGAAGGAGGCACAGGCCACATGGTGGCTTGATGAGATGAAGGAAAAGGAAGCTTCTGAGACAAGGTGACAAAGAGATGGGCATTGATGAACAACTGAGTAGGAGTTTGTTGAGTAGGTACATTGTGGGCATCCCTCCAACTCTGTTTCCTTATGTATATGGTCTTTATGAAAATGATACATACAGGAACCTTGGGGCTAAAGAATCTGAGACCCAGAGAGGCAAAATGACCTGCTCTGTGTCACTCAGCACTTGGAGACGGATCAAAGACTTCAGCTCCCTGGGTCCAAATCTTACCTTCCAGGGCATGACTCCAGAGGACAGACAGGCAGTGGTGACAGAACAGCTTCCTGCTCTGAGCCTCCGAG